GTGCAACTACCTGGACAGTAATAGTATATTCACATATGGTTTATTTTATTGTCTTTGATAAGATCTATATTTTAAAACAAAAATGGCGTCTGTATCTCTTTTAGTTTTTGAGTTATTATTATTTTTATATCGTCAAAAAACGAAAAAAAAAATTTTACCATTTTTAATATCAAATTATTTACAAACCATATTTATAACATAATATATTTATGATTTGATTCATAGTCTTTGATAAGATCTATCATTCAAAACAAAAATGGCTGCTCCATCTCTTTTAGTTTTTGAGTTATCTTGATTTTTACCAAATTTATCGCCGCGTTTGTCAATTTTCGATGTTTACTTTTTCCACAACCACGTCAAAACTACAATACCTGCACTTTTATACCTTAGCTCCGTTAAAACAATCGTAAATTTCCTTTTTAACTTTGGCTTTAACATTCAAACCTCTGCGATCTTAAACAGCTGAGTTACGCCGCTGTTTCAACGAATAATATGAATAATAATTAAGCCTTGGCGAGGAAATAGGAAGCGGCTCGTCGCATTTAATGCTCGATTAAAGTCCACGTTCAAGTACTTATACACCTACACATTTTAAAACAATCATCCATTATGTCAAATCACCTTTTACTTTTACCCGGCATTTTACAGCACTTTCTAAAGTTACAACGTTCAAACCTTAGCGTCTATTTTTAATGCCGCTGCATTTGTTAATATTAATTTTCAACTTGCCGCGATGGACGGGCACAATTAATGCATTACAATGCATCGAAATGCATATCGTGCCGATGCTAATGTTATTATATTGTTGCTGCGCCGCTTAATCGCTCGGCGTCAATGTTAATTATTGCTAATGGTAATGTAGTATGACAGACCACAAAACGACCGCAATGGAATCCAGTCGCAGACCGATTCGTTTGCCGTTAATACTTGAACATGAATTATTTCGCGTTGGCTGCGGCGAATCATTTGTGCGATAGTTTTGCAACGCATGCTAAGTTACGAAGTGCCAGGTATTGGCCACGAAAATAATCACCAGTAATCGGACAATGATAACGTCGAACGTCAGACGCTCGCACAATGCACGAAACAAAAGTGATAATTGTTATAAAATGATAGATGCATATTGTGATTGTTAACAATGGGGCAGTTTGATTGGCTATTATTTGCATTTTTTTATCTGTATGGTAATTTTATTTGTTATTTGTTATTTTGGTTGTTAGTTTTGCACTTTGGGCGCGCCGTTTTTATTTGTTTTGTGTAGTCGCGTTGCTGGCGTAACTTTCGTGTCATCTTTTATTTCGTGGATAAAGTTCAGTATTCTACTTATACTAAAGAAATATAAGACTTTTGGGTTGAAACTTGTGTTTTAATTCTTTATTCGTGGAATAAATGCGAGTTTTTAATTATTTGACTGAAAGCCTGAGTTAATGTAGGTGTAATTTTGGTTGCCTATGTCTAAATCTTCAATAACTTTGATAGAAATATGGTTAATATGCAAATATATCATTTTTACTTGATATTCGTGCTTGACAAGTGTTTAATTATCTTTATTCAAAGAATAAATGCATATTTGTAATTATATTATCGGAAAACCTGATTAAACAGTTAGTTTGAGTGCTTGTGCTGGTGTACTGGTTTGCCTATGTGCAAGTTTTACAATTTGAAAGAATAAAACTTCTACAACTTCGCACTATCACGTTTCCAAATCTATTGTCACACAGAACCAGATAAACCTGTTTAGTCTTACCCTAGTATTATGCTATGTTGGTTTACACGCTATATGTATTCTATGTAATCATTGCAAATACAATTTATTTGCGACAAAATTACAGTCAATATTAGCTAAACATTAACTGCTCTAAGCAAATCTAAACAAAATCTTTGGGTGAGTATAATTCAGGTTTTTCCGGCTTGTTCAGAATGTCGATACTCTAAACAAGCTGTTTATCTCAAATTTATTGCGATTTGCTTTTCATTTGCAGTTATTTCGTCAAGTCCTCAACAACTGACCGTTCAGAAAAGGTGCGTGGAAGGAAACTTGTAGCATTTTAAACTAAATTTACAATGACTCACTGGGTTGTAGTTACTAACGATGTTGCATGAAGAAAAAAATTAAGCAAAACGTAAGGAAGAAAAAACACTGATGCTTTGACGTGAATTTTACTGACTGGAATTGCCCATGTTTGGTTTGAAACAATGTTAGACTACCCTGGAAAAGGATTAAATGTCAATTTATTATTAAAGTGAAGTGCTTAAATCTTTTACTGAATGCGTTGGCGGAAGATTATTTTTTACGTTTTACGGCGTAGTTTTTGATGATGCACGTAGCTTCATTATACAAATCTATTAATAATGCCTACTAATTGAATAGAAAACGCACACGGCGTAAAAGCATTTACAATTCATTTTTCAATCGCTGCTCGTCTTGACAAGACTTTGGTTGTGTATTTGTTGGAATAAATGCAGGTTTTGTAATTATATTGACTGAAAACCGATAAACATGTTTGTGCTGTGAGAAATTTGCTTGAGTTAGACAAGTATTATGTTTATTTGTCATTTTATAACCCCTAATCTACACACTTTAAAAGTAAGAAAATGCAATATTGGTTGCCTATAACTTCAGAACCAGTAAAGCTACATTATTGTTTCAATCAATAGAATTATTTTATTTTCTCAGTAAATTACCGAAAAACCCCAATAAAAATACTAATAATTAACTCTAAACTGACAAAATGTAATGTTAGTTTGCCTATATCTTCTAAACTAGTGGTGGTAGAAACACCCATTTTGTTTTAATCAGTAAATAATTTTTATATTTTCTTGGAAAATCAACGAAAAATTGATTTAAAATTTATTATAAGTTGTCAAATGTATAAAATTAAGGTTGAAGATGACATATACACTTTGAAGATGAATACGTAAATATGTTCCAAAAGTGATTTCGACACTTTCAACCTTTGAACATCAGGAATAAAATTAGCAACCTGGGTGGGTGAGGTGTCAAAATACAAATGTCATTCTCTTTGTGCTTGATCATCAACAGCTTTGAGTTTTAATGTGCGTGCGCTTTTGATGTTTTATTGGCCGTGGCTTGATGCCGTGAATAATTTTCACGGACATAATCACATAATTACAATACTTTACACAGTCAGAGGAAATAATTCATTAAAAACTATAGATTATCCACAAAAAATTAAACTTTCAAACTAAAAGTTGAAAAACTATATACTTAGCTACAGACTAATAAAAATGTGATTGTTCAACAGATTGTTTGAAATTATAGAATTTCAGCACCGAAAATTAACTTAAAACAAATATTGCACACTTGCAGAAACTGTACAAAACCATCGATACATTTGAAATCTGAGGAGAATTTAAAATCGCTTGTGTTTTGGAAGGTTTAATAATGAATTTTAACAACTACCAAACTTACCAACGTCAATGGTTGCCAGTGATATGAGTTATCTTAATTATTTGCATTCATGTGGAAATATTATGAAAATTATAACTACTTAATTCATGTAATACTTTCGCCGATTATGTTTTTAAGTCTTTTTTAAATCGATTTTTTATGGATGGGAAACGGCCAAAAATAAAATGAATGAACAATATGAAGCGAGCAGAAACACGCACGTCAGCGGCAATAAATTAACGTTTTAATAGCTTTTGTAACCGACTTCCGTACGTAAGAGATGTTTGCATTTCACTTGAAATTTACTAATTTGATTTTTACTTTAGCACATTGCATTAATTTAAAATTAAAAAATACAACAAAACAAAGCAAATGTTTATTTTTGAAATGTTTGCATTGCTGATGTGCACGTAATTTTAATATTAAGTAATATTAATTACTTTAATTACACAAGTTTTAAGGTTTTTTTGTGGTAAAAATATAAATATTGACTTTTTATTAAAAATTCCTTCTTTTATATGCAATTTATGACTTAGTCAACACTTTGAACAAATGAAATGTAATGCTGGTTTCCTACAACTTCAAAACTATCACTGAAAGAGAAATTCTTTTTGTTTTAATGAATAAAAACCAAAAAATACAAGATTTTAATGTTTTAAAGCAAAATTCCTTCTTTTACTTACAAATTATAACTTAATCAACACTTTGACCAAATGAAACGTAAAGCTGGTTGCCTATAACTTCAAAACTTTGGTTTTTAATAAAAATTTACTCTTTAGATCAAAATCTTTAATAGTTTTGATTAATAAAATGACAAATTAACATAAATCTAGTGTTGCAATTATCCAATCTATCCCAAAACTAGATCAACGACATAATTCTAATTCGTCATACAACTTTTCTCATTAACTTGCGTATTAAATTGGAAATGTGGTGCCGATTGCAAATCGGTAGTTTGCACACATGTTGCAATTATTGCCCACACTCTAGGTTCACACTTGAAACTTAAAACCGTATAAATTCAGTTCCAGATTTCAATTCGCTGACCAAGGTCGGAGTTGGCTCAGATTACCTCAGAAGAAATACGGAGCAAAGGTCGACGCTAGGCGACTAAGAGTAATTCAACATGGCACCTCGTGTACTCGTACCAAACTCATTGTGTGCTCAATGCATGACCTATTGTTCTAATTCTTTAAAGAAATTACGCTCAAAGATTGAACAAAAAGTGTAAATAACTGTTTATTATGTAACGGTAGATATATTTGATTAATCTCCTTCCTCTTCTTCTTCATTTTTTAGGTTCTTCAGGTGGGGGTGCTTCCGGAGGTGGTTCTTCAGATTGCAGGAGAAGCTGCTTCGGTAAGGTGGAGGAGGAGGTGGGGCATCCTTCACCTTCAGGTGGAAGGAAGGAGGTGGGGGTGCTTCAGTAGTTTCACCTTCGGTGGTGGGGTGGAGGGTCCTTCTCCTTCTTCACCGCTTCGTGGCCTCCACCTTCTGGTATAACAGGAAGTGGTGGAGGAGCTTTGTATATTGCATCCTTGGAAGCTGTAATCTTTGCGTTTAATTTACTTGTAGTTTGGCTTGACTTTCATTTTGCTTGCTCATTGATGGTGGTGGGGGTGGTTGCTTTATCTTGACCTTCACCTTCTTCACCTTCTTCTTCGTCTTCAACAGAGATTAATTCACTCATTTTCCATTGGAGGTATGTCTTCACTTCACCTCCTAGGTCTCCTAAATCTTCTTCTTCTTCACCGTGTAACACACCTTCAAATATCATCTCTTCTTGGTCTTCACCAATTGTATCTTCAATAAAAGTAGTGTGTCTTGGTTGAAGGGGAGCTATTTCCGCGTCTTCGTCCTCGTAGTTTTCCGGGAAGAAATGCGAACAGTCACGTTCTCCTGTATCAACGTTTGAGGACATGTAGGTTGGTCCTAGTTGGGCGAAGGCTAGAATAGGGTCTGATTTTCTTTTTGCTACTTTGAGGACCAATTTTTCTCCACTGGAAAATAAAAAAAATATGTTTAGGTGATATTTAATAGGTTTTAAGAACTTTGGGTGTTGATATTTAAGGTAAAGAAAGTGAAAGACGTCTACCCCCACCAAAAAGTGAAGGTTAAGCACTTTTACTCTTTATTGAAAGTGCAGGAGATGCCCCTCTTTATTTAAAACTATATTTAGGAAGTGTTCAGATGATTTTAGAAAATAAGGTAAGTGAATAACCTCTACTCCCACCTAAAAATGAAGGTTAAACCTTTCTACTCCTTGCTAAAGGTAAAAGGGACTCCCTACCTCCAAATAATTTAAAAACAAATTTAAGAGGTATACTCTTAGCATATCATCAAATTTTACTTACTAATTAGTCCCTGTGAAGTGTTTTTCATACTGTTTCTTCGTCTTAGCAATAAGTTTAGCCTCATCAGGTTGATCCGAAGTAAAGAACCCAAACGCCAGTATCTCACTCTCATACTCATCCATAACCTTGTAGATATCATGCTTCTTGAACACTTCAAACGCAATCGCAAGATGCGCAGGCGCTGGTTCCGGTTCCGGCAGTATCAACGCCGAAGTAATCAATGGGAAGCAATACTTCAACGCTGTAGACTTAACCAAGTCATTCGCAGGTGCCCATAGACCCCATAGATCCGCCTCGTCTACTTCTTCCTCCACAACTTCCTCTTCAACTAAATCTTCAATCTCAATTGTAATAGCCGTTGGGCTAAAGGTGGAACTTACACGTCTAAACTCATTGGGATCTATTACCTCAGCCACCTGTTCTTCTTCCGCTTCTTCCTCTTCTGCTTCTTCTTCTACCTCTACTTCTTCTTCTTCAAGTTGGTCTATACCTTCATCTAACTCCAACATGGCTTGCATTTGTTGTTGTTTGATAGCTTCAGCTTCCTCCTGGATCTTTTTCGTGACCTGAGATTTTAACAATGAATAAGCGGGTGTCCCTGGTTCCCCTGGAGCTATCTTAGTAGCTCCATAAGCAAATTTTAATATGGTTTCATCTAAAGGACCAGGATTCATCTCTTGATCAACCGTTAACATCAATGCTAAAGCTCTTTCACTGCAAAGGTGATGTTTGCATGCTTCAGGCATCTTATCAGGTGATAGAAACTCGATATCTTCTATAGCTTCCTCTGTAAGTTGAGGTCTTTCTTTTTTGGAGATGGCTATACCCGTATGAGGTAAAAATTCATCCAAAATATCACTGCTTTTTTTAACAGCATGCGGGAAAATGATGATTAATCCAAGATGCGCCATTGTATCCAATATATTTTTAGCCTGAGCAATTCGCCTGTCTTTGAGTTGCCTCTGGGCTTTCTCCACTTTAACCCTTTCACGATCCTGTTCAATCTTAGCGTGTTTTTCGAATGTTGCTTGTTCCTGCTCGGAGTTTTCTTCTGGTAAACGCTGGGGACGTGTGCGTATACCTTCCAAACATTCTTTTTCTTTAACCATTTCATCCATAATCATCCTTTGTAATTCTGGTGCATTTGAACCGAAAAGTAAACCTACTTGTTGACCTTTAGCGATGAACATCCATGTTGGTTCAGATTTATTACGGAAACGTTTAAGGGCTTCCACATTATTTGATCTAGCCTGTAAAAATACATTCAAAAGTGATTTTGAAGATAAAATTAATTTAAATTTATTTCGGGACCATTCCTAGGTGTAGAAAATCACCCCCACTCTCAAGTTTTATCTTCTTGAGGTTTCCCTGCATTGCCAAGCATGGACCACACCATTCCGAGTAGATATCCACAACAAGAAGACCATCTCGCTGAAGAAACTTCTCCCATTCCTCATCGGAGGTGATATCAATCTGTAATTGAACTTGTTTTGCTTTCGCCATCCTGTCAAGGCACTATTATGATTAATTCTCAATTGTTTGATCAATAGAATTACATACAAACTTGATGAAATTTAATTCAAAACTTCTTTTACTATATGCAACCCAAAATACACTTTTAAATGCACAAAACTTAAAATCTTCAAATTTTTATCACTTTTATTTGTGAAACTGATAATTTTACACTCAAATTGCAATATCTATATATTGACAGGTAGATAACACGTTTCCTATAAGTGTATGAAGTCTACGCGTCTTATCTTTCGACTTGGTTAAGTGCATGCGTCATCGATGAGTTCAATTTTCAAGTTTGGTGATTTGCAGTGATAAGCCCGAAGCTCCTAATTAGATAATTACCTGATGTGGTCCCGACGTACCCAATAT